GGTATGAGGCAGTATATTTATTAGGTATGAGGCAGTATATTTATTAGATATTGGACAGTCTATTTATTAAGTATGTGGCAGTGTTTATATTAGGTATGGGACAGTCTGTTTATTAAGTACGAGGCAGTGTATTTATTAGGTATGAGACAGTCTGTTTATTAAGTATAGGAAAAAGTATTCATTAAGTATGGAACAATTTATTACCTTTCGTGATTTTTACCTCTGGGTATCATTTATAATATCTTACTAATTAATTAGAACTGAAGGTTTGTTTTGTTTGTTTGTTTTTTTATATATTAGGTATGGGACAGTCTGTTTATTAAGTACGAGGCAGTGTATTTATTAGGCATGAGACAGTCTGTTTATTAAGTATAGGAAAAAGTATTCATTAAGTATGGAACAATTTATTACCTTTCGTGATTTTTACCTCTGGGTATCATTTATAATATCTTACTAATTACTTAGAACTGAGGGTGTAACATGTCGATATCACGAACGTAATATTTCAAACATTCAGCGCTCAGCAACAAAATTCCTTAACTACGAATTATTTAATTAAAAAAATAAAATAAACATAGTTAAAAAACGAACAGTAAAATTCATAAATTCAATACCTACCAAAAGATGTAACCTAATTGTTTCTATCATAATGTTAATAATACCAAAATCCATATGAAAAAAACCCTCAAAATATCCTGTTTCAGCGAATAAACTCCTGTCTAGCCAGAACACCAGCCGTTGACTTAATCTAACGATTGACATTACAACAGGTCACGTGATTACGTCTTTTCTATAATAGCACGCGAGCCGACAGGCTGGTACTAAAACAGAGAGATGCTTGAGCACGTATAAATCGACAGAGTATTACTTTGCGCTGTTGCGATACTTTCTGACGTCAACACAAGCAGTGGGACAAAGAAGTCGAGAAGATCGCAAACCCTGCTCGCAATTAAAAGAAAGTAACTGTAATGAAGATCTTGTTATAATATTCACTAATGTTAAGCTCATGCGAAAAGAGTTTAATCGATTATTTATCAACAACTTCACATCTCAGAATATATTATGAAATTAGAGTTGTGGCATTTTAAACGTTGTCAGCAAAAACAATGAACAGAATTGTGTGAAGGAAAAGTTCCGAATATCAAATCGTAAGTATATTCCAGAACTATTGTTAATCGAAAAGAAAATTGATGTTATCGTTATTATGAGTTTTTAATTCATATTTTCATCACCAGGTTTTATTGTTGGATATTTTGCTTTAATTTACTTATTTAAGTAAAGTCCCCAAAGATTAAATTACTTTCTGGTGTGCATTTAAAATGTATCACTAACTACATAACTAGTCGATTGTGTTAAACTACAGGAAAAAAAACTGAAATACGCTCAAAAATTATATTTTAAAGTACACTATTCATGTTTTTCTGGGGTTTTCTTTACTGATCAAAATTGTGTTTTAGGAAACTGTTAACTGCGTAGTAATATAATAGTTATGTTGCTTTGTAATAACATTATCCCAAATTATTCGTATAGCTGAAAATATAAAAAAAAAGTCCAAGGAAAGAACTTCAGCCCTCATAAAGAAAAGCCCCCCAGTGGCACAGCGGTATGTCTGCTGACTTACAACGCTAGAAACCGGGTTTCGATATCCGTGGTGGGCAGAGCACAGATAGCCCTTGTGTAGCTTTGTGCATAATTAAAAACAAACAAACAATCATAAAGAAAGATTTATATTTCGTGTCTTTTTAACTAAGACTTATCTACTCCGACTTACAACGCTAGAAATCTAGGGCTCGATTTTCAAAGGTGATCAGAACGCAGATACTCCATTGTGTAGTTTTGCGCTACAACAAACGTTATCAATTCCAGAGTTTGTGTGTTTTTCTAATACCATGAACTGTTTTGAGATAATGATTTATCGCTGCTATTTACTTGTTTGTTTGTTTTGTAATTGAGCACAAAGCTATACAATGGGCTATCTGTGTAGTGCCAACCACGGGTATCGAAACCTGGATTCTAGCGTTGTAAGTCCACAGACATACTGCTGTGCCACTGGGGGCTGCTATTTAATATTTACAAATAGAGGAGAAATATACAATCGTTGAAAATGCAACACTATGATTTACAACATTTTGATATTTTTGTTTAAAATACTGAGTGTAAATCTTGCTACATTTTGCTATACACTTTATTAAAAAATTCCATTGGAACTTAAATAACAATGACAATTAAGTTCAAATAAATATATCACTTTAAGCAATCTATGACCCACTTTATATCTGTCACATTATATGAAAATATTTTGGACACTATAGAATACTATGTCTTTTTCAAATAACTTTTATATAATGTTAACTAATTTTTTACCCTAAAATACCTCAGAAATTGCCCCCCCCAGTGGCACAGCGGTATGTCTGCGGACTTACAATGCTAGAATCTGGGTTTCGATACTCGTGGTGGGCAGAGCACAGATAGCTCATTGTGTAGCTTTGTTCTTAATTAAAAACAAACAAACAAACCTCAGAAATAAAGTATTTCAAAAACGCGTCTACTGATCTAGACTTATGGCCGAAACTAATTGTCTAAAACATTTTATCTGTGAGGTTATTTTAGTGTTATAAAGTGTATTAACTTTAATATATAAAATTGTTCGAAAATGTCTTTAGGTACTCCCTGAAGTTGTTAAAATGACTAAGTCTAATAATCTGGAGAATATTTCAAACTACGTCACTATCTACTCTTTATTGTCATGACGTCGGACATGAACAAAGTAAAATGGTGGAAGTCTTAGCCAATTAAATATTACGGTTGTTCTAGATTATTAAGTGGCCCAACAACAAACAAAATAAAAGTTATATATGCTTATCAAAACTAATGCTCAAAATGTATATGGTACTCTACAAGATTATGGTATTTTAAACATTTGTACAGGTCAGGCATGTGGGGACTTAAACCAATATTAATGTATGCCTAGAAATAGATAAACATTTGATAAATTGAGGAAAAACAAGACAACTGTACGTTTCACAAATACATCATTTATTCAAGACCATAGTTTCGCCAGTAAAGGTATCATCAGGAATCTTTTAATAACACAATCATTACAAAAGAATCGTAACGAAAGACTTGGAAAATTACAGTTGAGAAATACAAAGTTGGTACGGGTAAGCTTCTTGTGATGTTTAAAGAATCAAAGGATAAGGCCTTCGGGAAATATTACCCTGACCTCAACGCAGGCAGAATGAAGAATGTAGTCACATGGATTGCAAATATAGAAAGTAGGATAGCTATGAAGAAGATATGTAGGAAGAGTGGAAACACATAGGAGAGGTTTAGTTTGGGAACGTGAGGTGTGGTTTTCGAAAGGTAGCGTAGAAGAATATAGAAAAATGGTAGCAGAGGAATTAAGGAAGATCGAAGAAGAAAGAAGGGTAGCACAGGCAATCTCTCGTGCATGTGGGGGACATCTGGTAGATGGAGCGATCTAGGCTTAGCTTCTTGCTCAGGGAAGTGTATGACCAGCTGCTTAGTCCAGTTAACTCATCTAGGTGAAAAGTGAGCGAGGTTGAGCAGTGTCCAGAGTGTTCTTCTAAGGAAACGCTGGAATACATTCTTGTAGGATGTGAGCAGGGACTTGATAGGTACACATGGAGGCACAATCAGGTCTAGAAGGTTCAACAGCTGCACTCTGTTATGGCTTGTCAGGACGCGGAGGAGTATGTAACTGATAGGGAATATGGAAACATTGAATTTGTGACAGAGGGGACGATTTTGAGAAAAAGAAAATTTATCAATTTATGAAGGGGGCCTACACCTGGTGTTAAGTGAGAGATACACACTGATCTTACATCACAACTGGTGTGTCTTCCTGAGATTCTATTAACTGGAGAACGACCTGAAATGATAAGGTGATAAAGAGCTTGAAAGTTAAGAACTTACTGTTCCGCGGGAGGACAACGTCACATGGACCCATGAGAGAAAGTTGTATAAGTATGAAGAGCTTTTTGGGGAGTGTTGTGCTAAAGGCTGGCGCTGTGAGGTATTTGGGGTGGAAGTAGGATGTCGAGAGTTTGTAGGCCACTCTACAGTAAGGTTCTTGAGGAAAGTCGGAATAGTGGGGCGATGCCTGAAAAAGGCATTGAAAGAAGTAGATCAGGCTGCCGAGAATAGTTCTGCATGGATTTGGAACCATGCAAACAATGACTAGTGGTGACCGATACTCAGTGGTGGCGTTCATCTGCTTCTGGGGCCCGCCGTGGGTGCTGTACTGGAATAGGCCTCCAAACAGCGATACCCACAGTTTCCAGCTGATGACCTGAGCATCAAGCGGTGGTTGAGGCCACTGTATGTTCTATCTTAGTACATAAGGTAGGATTAGTAAAAAAGCAATGACAATAAACGTACAACAAATAATTTGATTAGAATACGATTCATTTAAAGAAACATGACGAAGAAGGTATATAGAAAGGAATTAGTTTGAAAAAACTTGTTCGAAAACTTCGAATAAATACACACATATATATATATATATATCACATACATTAGTTCAAAAACTCAAGACGATAAACTTAGAATGAAACTGAATAAGATGGACTTTGCACTTTGATTAATTACGATACGAAACTTACTGTAAAATCTTGTAGGTTTGAACAGGTTTTGATACACATACTCCTAAACATACGCAAATATATAAATATTAGTTGTTTTTAATATACAAACTTAAATATTTTCTCAGTTTACGCTACACGTAGCTCTAGGTTTGGTTTGGGTTTTGGTTTGTTTTTTAGTTTTCAAAGAATAATATGCTCTGCATTTAACGTTAAAAGTGTATCCTTATTCTTACAAACTAAGATACAAGTGTAAGATTAGAGACATAGTACTTTCGCTACTAACGAGTAATATTGTACATATTATTAGAAAGAAATATTTAAATTAATGGCCTAATTAAATTAGTTTCATAAAACTATTCATGCATACTCAAAATTAGTTATTATGCTTAACTTCGAAGTTTCACGACAAGCAGGGTTATGCGTTTTAATTTTTGATTAATCTCATATAATGGCATATAGTAAATCTTATTTTTAAAAATATGTAAAAACTTTCAAAGTTTATGGTAGACCAGAAAATATTACAGAAATTAAATAACGCGTTTATATGAGTCTAGTAGTTAGTACTTTAAAACTTTCGCCATTATTTAAAAACTGGGCACTTTTTTTTATCAATCTAAAACAGGGTTGTTTTATTTTTAAAGGTAAGCAAAAAAAAATCAAAAATACAAAACTTCAACTTTGCGACAGAACTCCACTGGACGGTTTATTTAATTCCCTTGAAACAGTTTAATTGAATGAGATTTGACTTTTGTGAGTTAATTGAATTCAGTGCTAATTGACTGTCGTGAAACAGTTGGATCGGGTGATCTAGTAGTGCCTCGATACGATTCAAGCATGTGATAATTAACTTTTGTAAGACAGTTTAAACACAGAGATGTCTATCGCAAGGAAAGATTCATTAAGTGAAAACTTTAGGTGGTAAAATTGGATAATACACATGGCTAGTACTTGACTGTTCACAAATTGACTGGTTGTTCTGGTGATGTTATTGGATAATACACATGGCCAGTACTTGACTGTTCACAAATTGACTGGGTGTTCTGTGATGTTAGAGAACATTTCAGAGTGATACTTGATTGGAGCTAAAAAAGTTTGACTACACAATACAATTTCATTTAGCGTGTCTCGTTGTCAGGGGAAGGTCACGACCTCTCAAGAAACTATCCCGCTAAAGGTCGGACCAGTTTTTCGTATTCGAACTGTGCTTAAACGTGAGAAAACGTTTTCCAAATAAATTTCCGATGTATTATAACATCCAATCGAAATAACTCACTTTAGTAAACATCGAATCACAGGAAACAGTAAACTATCAAGGATGATTTTCTACAGCTTTTGTTAACCTGAGAAAATATGCTTTGATAATCAAATAAAGTATCAGTGAAACGAATCTGAAGTAATTATTTTATTCTATTTCCTTTACGCTTTCTTTCATAATTTATAATACAACAAAGCTTGATCATGGAGACCCTTAAAATAATCCGAAACATTATTCCATAGGTCCTAACATATGGTACCTCAGACATACACGGTACCTCCGACTAGACTTGGTAATATTGCACGTCGTGTATTAATCAACACGGCAAGCTTGTATGACTAAAATATGGTGTTTTCCCTTGATAATTTGATCTAATCTCTCTAATGGGAGGGAACATACACGATTTTGTAAAGTAATGCTTTTTCTCTGTGTAACATTCGACTGCACGTCGCTATTCACGGAAATATAAGTGAAAGTTGTTGAGTATTTTTTTTTCGTCCGGGAATTTTCGTCATTATATTCCAGGAGCGCACATTACGTAAAAGTATCAAATAACATTTATGTAATATAACGTCATAAAATAAAATAAATGTAAATAAACATTTAATACACTAGTACCATGAAGATATACTAATTACATCCGTTTGTGATGGAAAACGACTTCGGTCCAGTCCTTTTTGTTTCTAATTGTTGTGATAACACGACACAGCATTGCTGGATAATATGCATTTTGTCGACTTTTAAATATATAATCAGTTTCCATGTAAGTGTACGTTACATCATTTAAAATGTGTGGTTACTATATGATGGTGTGTTGAATGAATAGCTGGTGAAACGTTATACCTAAATGGATTGAGTTAATTATGAAACTTCATGTTAAAGCGAGGATGTTTGCTAACTTATTAATCATTCAAGAGTTTCGCATTTCACATTTTGTTTTACTTTTGATGCTATATATATATAAGTATATTTCTCAACTTTTATCGAATTTTCATAATGATTATTCTGGGCTGGTTGTGGCCTAGGGGTTTGCGTGTTGTGCGGCAGATCGAAGGTTTAGAGTAGAAGACGTGAACACATTCCGCACGTGCACCAATGGACGCGTTATAAAAGTGACACTCAATCCCGTTATTTGGTTCAAAAAGCTGGAAAAAAGCCCTTATGGTGATGGTTACTGCTTGAGTCGGTATCTCAACATTAAGAACGACTATAACTGAACCCTAGTAGTCACTGACCAGGTCGTTTATTCCACGTGAGCATAAAGTACTGTTCAGGTTTTTAAAAAAAATACTTTTTTTTTCATTTAACTCGTATGTTCCTTTCAGATTTAGGACAGTTATGAATAATTATAATTAGTGTATTGAATGACACTAGCTGCCGGTTTCTCAATTTATCATTCAATTATTTGATTGTATGTATATGAAGAAGACCCTTTGCCAAAAACTATTTAAAAATACATTTTTAGATAATTTGTCTTATAACTGACCTCTTTGATACCGTCTTACAAACATCCCTTTTCTTGAAATATCACTTTATATTGTAACAGATTAAAACTGAATACATTATACTTTTGTCTTACATTATTAATGGAAATACGAAAAGTTCATAATGCACTGAAAACGTTTGTAGAAACTTAGATTAATTGCTCTAAAAATTATAGGCCAGCTGATAAGGTATTAATTCGAAAGAAAACAGTGTTTCGTTTCAATTTATATTTTCGCTGTACGAATTGAGATAAAACATCTTCCCTAAAAGTTAGACAGTTTTTATCAAACTTAGTGAAATCTTGAAGTAATCTCTTCTCTAAAAGCTAGACATAGTTTTTATCAAACTTAGCGAAATGTTGTAGTAATCTCTTCCCTAAAAGTTAGACATAGCTTTTATCAAACTTAGTGAAATCTTGTAGTAATCTCTTCCCTAAAAGTTAGACATAGTTTTTATCAAACTTAGTGAAATCTTGTAGTAATCTCTTCCCTAGAAGTTAGACATAGCTTTTATCAAACTTAATGAAATCTTGTAGTAATCTCTTCCCTAGAAGTTAGACATAGCTTTTATCAAACTTAGTGAAATCTTGTAGTAATCTCTTCCCTAAAAGTTACATATAATTTTTATCAAACTTAGCGAAATCTTATAGTAATCAGATATTATCGCCCCTTTTTCTTCTCAGATAAGCATATTTCTAAAGTTAATCCTACCAGATTAAGCTACATCTTCTAAGACTGAACATCCACATTTCAGTAATAATGGCGAAATCATTATAAAACTTCCAGCATAAAGTAATTTCAGTAAAACAGCTTATTTACAGAATGTGTGTTTTTCTTATAGCAAAGCCACATTGGGCTATCTGCTATGTCCACCGACGGGAATCGAATCCCTGATGGTAGCGTTGTAAATCCAAAGACTTAGCGCTGTCCCATCGGAGGACAGGTATTTACAGATAGTAAACATGAATGCAGTGAAAAAGCAATACGTATACATTGAAACACGTCAATATCCCTACGGTAAACCGATGAATATCTAAGTTCCATTAACTTTAAGTTGGTCGTGGCTAAGTCTTTAGAATGTCCTAACTGTGAATATCTATGTAATTACTGTTCGCATCCCGTTGATAAAAAAAAACACCTTCGGAACTTTGAGGTAGTGGATGTGCTTAATAGTGACGGTCAAATCTCACTGATTGGTTACACAAGAGAAGCTCAAGATTGATGGTGTTTTATATTGATGACAGCTTCCTCCCTTTAGATTTTCACTTCAAATTTAGAGCCAGCTTCATGCATAGGTAATTAAACCCACCAGGGTACAGGTCGTAGGTCAAGATAACAGCAAAAATACTATGTAAACCTTGAGCTAAAAATATGTAACATTACGAATACTCTGTAAATTTTGCTGTTTTCTTTTCGCACAAAGCTACACGAGGGCTATCTGCGCTAGCCGTCCATAATTTAGCAGTGAAATACTAGAGGAAAGGCAGCTAGTCATCAACACCCACCGCCACTCTTGGGCTACTCTTTTACCAACGAATAGTGGGATTGACCGTTACATTATAACGCCCCCCACTGCTGAAAGGGCGAGCATGTTTAGTGTGATAGGGTTTCTAACCCGCGACCCTCAGATTGCGAGTCAAGCGTCCTAACCACCTGGCCATGCCGAGCCTGCAAATTTTGAGTTAAAAATAGATAACCGTACAAATACACAGTGAATCTTGAGTTAATGTATGAGTACATCATATTCAGGAGGTGGGAGAGGGCTGGCCACTCTAATTCAAGATGTTTGATTTAGTAAGTACATTTCAAGCACTGTATATATATAAACTGCATTTTTATTTCTGATAGTAAAAAAAAAAGAAATTATTTTATGCTTTTCTTGAGTATAAATTTCTAGTGCTTTATTGTTTTACTTTTTCATTTATTCAGGATTTTCACACCAGATACTACTATGAACACTCAGGTCGCCATTGTTACTTGTCTAATCCTGGCGGCTGGTTGGCCGGTTATTACACAAGGCTTGTGCCCTATTCGATGCCAGTGTAACGAGGAAAGATTAGTGGTAGTGTGCGATGAGGCTGGGTTAGGTGTGGTTCCTATAACACTCAACCCTGATCTCAGAGAATTTCATCTCAGAAAGAACAACATCAAAGGAATCATGGCAGCGTTCAGTGTCTACCACAACTTGGAATATTTAGATATGACAAGCAACCACTTGGTAGCTCTCGGCCGTAACAACTTCAAGTTACAGAACAAACTGCGTATCTTGATACTTGGGCATAACATGATCTCGTCTTTGCATCCTTCTACGTTTGTTGGACTGCACGGTCTTCAAATTTTGAAGCTCACCAGAAACTTCCTTCGTGAACTTCCTGACAACATTTTTACCGAATTGATAAACTTGGAAATCTTAGATTTGTCGGAAAACAGCATTGACACCATATACAAAAACGCTTTTGTGGGGCTAAAAAACCTTAAAATTCTGTTACTAAAAGACAATAAACTTGGACACATTCCCACGTCCTCATTCAGAACCATTCCTCATGTACTTAGCATAGATTTAGGCTCAAATAATTTCCCAGTCTTGTTGGACGAGAGTTTTGTTAATCTTGTCAACTTAGAAAAGTTGAAATTAAACAGTTGTGGAATACGCCAAATCCATAAAAGTGCTTTCAAAAGACTAAATAAACTTATATACCTTTTTATTCAAGATAACTTGCTCGATTCTATCCCAACAGAGGCATTTTTTAATCTTAAAACATTACTGGAACTTGATATTGGTCAGAATAACATCAAAGTTATTGAACCGAAAAGCTTTAGCGGTTTAATCAACATCCAAACCATCTCTATTAGCAGCGGTCCTTATCTGGAAAAAATAAAACACGAGGCTTTTTCCGCAAATATAAGATTACAGCACCTCGTTGTCAATCACAACAAAAACCTTAAACATATTGACACAAAAGCCTTTTCTTCGTTGACTATGCTACGTTCTGTTAGTCTCCGTAATAACGACTTTCAGACGTTTGATGAAGACCTACTACCTTGGAATGACTTGCAGCACTTCGACCTTCGTGACAATCCATTAGTCTGCAATTGTAGTCTTTCTTGGTTATTAAACCACTACCAAACTCGAAATTTCTCAGAAAATTTTAGTCTCGAAATGACCCACGTTCGATGTGCACATCCTCTTGTACTTCGTGATCTCACGCTGAAGAGTTTGACCGTGAACGATCTCGGCTGCCACCAAATTCAAACACGAAGGATTCTTACTGGGACTCTTATAGCGATTGGCGTTCTTATCCTTCTTACTCTTATTTCAGCGTTGTGGTACCGTCAGAGGGTTGCGAACGATTTTAAAATAAAATGTAGTATAACACTTCCAGACACACAGTACGAAAACTGTTATCGACGCGATACTTATTTAAGAGAAGAAATATCGCCGGAGCGGGAGTGGGTGGTAAAAATTGGGAGGGACCCCTTTCCAGGTAGATTTGTGTAGAAATCAGTACAACATAGCTCACCACGTAATAGAATCATTCCGTTATTTATTGTACGAAATATTTCTGTTGTAACTCCTGTTGAAACAGTGGTTCTCTCCAATCTTCTAGTTTTGTGTAGAACTCTTTCTTGTGCTTCTAAGAGTGACTTAAGAGAATATTTAAAGAAGAAACAATTGATTGTGATGAATCATTAAGATATACTGTCCGTTTTGCAAAAGTAAACAGGTAAGTGTAGAAGTCACAGAATGGACGTTCATTTAAAACAAAATAAAATAGATTTTTACCATCTTTATTCCAAAACGTTTTTCTAGTTCTTTTTTTTACTAATTATTAGTATTAAAAGAATATTAAAATGTTTGTTTTATTTTTTTGATGGCCACATTGTTCTCCGAATATGGGGGGGGGGGGTATGCTTACTGTAGAGTTTTATGACGGCGGTGATAAGTTCATAGTTCAGAACGTTACTGCCGTAAGAAATCGATATAAACCTTTAAAAAATATTACTGTTGGACGAAGTTCTTCGAACAACAGTAGTAATTCATGAGCTTAGTGTTTGCTATACTAACTTATGATACATAATTTAATAACACAACGTAAGTAAAGTTTGGATAAACAAATAAAAATTTAAACCAACAAGACACTAAATCTTTCATAGACTTTTTAATTCTCCCTAGAAATTCTTATGCTTCTATTTTTAACGCGATAACTTTAAAGTTGGGTTATTAATTTTACAAAATTTCTGACGATAAAACCTTAGACTTACTGTACATTTTCACGTAGAAAAAAAACTGAAATTTCTGATAACTCGGACTCTCCGTATCTTTCAACAATATTAACTACAGTATTCAATTATGGAAACAACAGTCTGATCAATAAAATTCCAGTTTCGACTTGTAGTTATAATTTTTGTAAAAAGCTTGGGAGTTTTAAAATAATTAACTTTATTTTTAAGCTTAGATTACGTAATTGTTAGTAAATAATTTTGAGTAGCATCACTTGTATAATAAACAAAAAAATTGAAATAGATTTTATTTCTGGGTAAATGTACTTACCATTCAGTCTTTATTAGGCCAGAAAGAGTAGTAGTTGTTGTTTTTTTTTCTATTTTATTTTTATTTCCTGAAGTATTTTCAAAGACTAATTAGAATTGTATGGGTCTATTTATTGCTTAAGATGCAATAACATATTCGATACAAAAGTTTTTTTTAAAAAAAAGTAAAAATTTCATTAAATCATGAGTATAAAAAAGAAGAAAGTCAGATAATAACTCAGTAATCATTATTAGAGTTCCATTGCTAATTTATAGTGCTATTTTCAAATCATTCTAACTTCAAGTATTTACTTTGCAGGTAATCTGGTAATCTTCATAGTGTTTTGTATACCACTGAAAGCAGACCGGTCGCCACATTAATTTCTAAGTTTTTCAACTTCTGCACAAGATGATAATTTGATAATAAGTGATTCTTCAACGGAAATATCACACACCAGCTCTCCCTTTACCCTACATCATAGCTGAGTTGTTATATTCTGTCAAACCGCTCTAAAAACTTTAAATTGGTGATATTTCCTTTATGAATATCCAAATCCATTTTTCGTCGAAAATATTTATATATATGTTTTGTCCAACAGATGGCGATTTGCAAGAACAAAAAAAAAAAAGAATAAGAGATGACATGCAAATATTCGCAGAAACGGAAACGTTTTCGTTTCTTCACGTATTCGTAAGTCATCTCACATTCCTCTTCGTTTTGGCAAAACACCATCTGTTAGACACAAAAATATAAATATTTTCAAAGAAACAAATGTTTTAGAAAAATGCTTTTCAAATGAGTGATTTAAAGTGAAGGACAATAATTCAAAAACTTAATAATACACTACAGGAAAACATAGTAATTTCTTTACGCATTATAAACTACATGAATAAATATTTTAAAGTTTGTTCTGACAAGTTCTGTAAAGAATTAAACATATTTGAAATATATTTTCAAAATAAATTATGAAAAGATTATCTGTTCGATGGGATATAAATAGGCAGTATAAGTCAGTATAAAAAAAATTGGGGGGAGTGGGTAACTGCATAATTTCGTCAGCATTTTTGAAATTTTGCTCCTTATACAAAAAAGTAAAAGTCTTGCTAAGTTTATTACTTGTAATATCAAAACTTAGTTCATATAGTTTTATGGTCTCGCATTATGCGTTAGTAATTCACAATATTATTATATTAATAGTATTAATTATATCACAATAGTATTAAAATCGAAAGCTAATTTTGACCTCATTCATGCAGTAAATAAAGATGTTTTCTTATCTAAGTAATTTGTTTAACGTATATCATTACGTTAGTCCAGAATAATAAAATTATTAAGATTAAAAGATGTGTGAGTCGCGAGGAAGGTCTCTACTTAACATTTGAATTAATTTCAAGATTTAATGAGACTTTTAATCACGAGGCACACTGTTTAAATATATAGGCTCTCAACATTTGGCTAACATGAAAATGAAGACACGATGTGCTAAAAAAATAATTAAATTTAGAAAATATATTCGTGAATTTTATTTGGAAAAAAAGATATTAAAATTTTGTTATTGTTGGTTTGTATATAGTATAATACACCATGTTAACAATTGTTATCAAACAGGTTCCTAGCTAGATGTAGTTCAGGAGTTTCCACGATTGAGGAAAAAGCATAAACCTGCTGCTTTAATAGGCACACCTGAGAAAGGTATTTCGAGGTGTACGGAGCAAAGTGTTTGTGCTTTAATAAGATTATATTTCTACGAGAAAAGGTTGATTTCAGACCATTTACATGGAGTACCAAAATGTAGATAAACCCATAGCTGACTCTCTGAAGTTAGTTCTGGCTAAGAGTCTGTTTGACTGGTGCGAAAGCTATTGTATCGCTTTCTGTAATTTTTATGGCAGGCTGTTTGTCATTTAGCTCTCTAATTTGAAGATAATTAAAAATACTCTATGTGCAATAAAGAAAAACAAAATAACGATGTTTATCGTTTTGTTTTATTTTCTAAACTGTACTCAACTACATTATCACCAATAATCAGCATGTTTCTGATAATCAAGCTTTTTTTCTAGTCATAAAAAATAAACAAACTTGAAATCCGTGTTTAATGTACACGAAAATCTAGAAATACATACCAAACAACTAAAACCAACATAATAATCGTGTTCACCATTTATTCGTATCACCTCCGTCCGTTAAATATATACTTTATCAGAAGCCACTCTCTGCTTTTCCTTTCCTATATGACGTTTTTGAAAAGTTTTAAAACTCAATAAAACTTTCGATTAAAATTACAATATAGTGTAAAATATCCCCCCCCCCAGTGGCACAGCGGTATGTCTGCGGACGTACAACGCTAGAAACCGGGTTTTGATACCCGTGGTTGGCAGAGCACAGATAGCCCATTGTGTAGCTTTGTGCTTAACTTCAAAAACAAACAAGATATCTCATTTATTATAGGCCAGGCGTAGCCTAGTAACTAGCGTGCCTGGACTGTGAATCCGAAGATTCATGTTTCTTGATCCGTAGTCACAAAAATGCACTAAATGGTTTTGTGAACATATCTGTCATCCTTAGAAGTTTTTGAAAGGATGAAAAATAGGTCCAAGTTTCAGCAATGCAATCAACTTTAAGTAAAATCAGAGAAGATTATAATTTTCACTGGTTTTTAGTGATTGGTAATCTAGCAATAGCTCAAGATGTGTGTGTTTAAGCATTAGTTTGAAAAGCGATTTAGATACAGAATTATAAGAAAATTTCTGAGGATGCAATTTTAGAATCGATGGAAAACAAAATAATTTACCTCAAGAGTGGAAGTTCTTCGTATTGAAAATAATAAATTTCTGTTTGTTTAGGGTTTTCGTGCAAAACTAAACAAAAGTTATATCTGCCTAGTCTCTGTTCCTAATTTGGAATTGTTAGACTAATGGAAAGGCTATCAACTTCATTTACCACCAGCTCTTGGGTTCTCTTGCCTGATCAAATAGTGGGATTTGACTGTCACTTTTATAGCTCACCCACGACTCCATAGTGTGGCTAAATTAAATGAAAAATACCTGAATAATATTTACATGCAATAATGGAAACACCTAATAGATGCACAAACAACGAGTAATGGCGATTAAAAAGTGATTTTATTAATGGTACTAAAGCATTATCACTTAATATGCGAATAAGTTGTACTACACACTAAAATTTTGTATGTAAGCTATTTGTTTTACACGTAGCGTTATACCTTGTTTTCATACTGCCATTCAGTTTATCAATGACGACTGGAAAGTATTGTTTATAATATCCTATGCTACTCCCTATAACTAGAATCGTGTCTGGGATGGAGAGTTTGTCATATGAGGAGAGATTAAGATCCTTGAAATTGTTTTCTCTCGAAAAAAAAACAGTTAGAGAGGATCTGATTGAGTTGTTTGAGATTGTAAATGGGATTGATAGTGTTGATGCATCATATTTTTCATATTTAACGGTGAGAATAGTAGGATTAGAGGACACAAATATAAATTTTGGCAGTGCAGGAGTCCTCTTCAGTTAAGACAGTTTTATTTTTCTAACAGGGTGGTTAGCCTCTGGAATGAGTTGCCTTCAGATGTTGTGGAGGCAGTAAATTTAAGTGAATTTAAGCGAAAGCTTGATAACTACATGAGTGATATGGGCTGGGTTTAAGATTTTTTAATAGTTCTAGTTTAGTTTAGAGGATGGGACAGCCTAGATGGATCAATAGGTCCCTTGTTGTCCCTAAACATTATGCTGTGTTATAACACAGCCAAACTGTTTGATGAGCGTTTGATCTTCTCAGTTTTTATACAAACCCATACATTCCTTGAACATGTTCATATCATGTTCATATCAGGCCATCGTTGTGAATGTTCCATCAGACTCCTTACTCTAAAGATATTATTTTACAACAAGGTGTCCGAAAAGACTGGAACCACAAGCACTTCAACGAATTTTACAGAACGTGTTCCACACAATGTTCTTATAATTCGAAACAAGTTCAGATTAACAGAATGATTAACTCGACCTTCTCATACTTTGACAGCACCATACTCAGACACGTGTCTGATATTAAGAAAAGCTGCAAGTTACCTATGGTTCTAGACTTTTCAGACACCCTGTATACTTTCTGTAAGCTTATGATAATTGTCTTGCTGGAAGATGAATCTCCGACCGATGAGTCTTGTTTATGAGAGAGAATTGCAAGAGGGAACAGAATCTGCCTGTACTTGAAAGCAATCAGGGTGCCATCAATTTTTTTAGATTACCGACACCGTTGGCTAAAATGAAGCTCCAAACGTATAATGATTCCCTTCTATGCTTCACTGTAGATGTTGTACATTGGCTGTGGTATCATTTTCTTCTGCGCCGTCGAAGAAACATTCCTTGATCGTTGCCGAACAATTCAAGCTAAGATTCATCTGTAAAGAGCAGACGTTTTCAGCTTGCTTATTCTATTGACTGTAGTCCAATACCTATTTCAATCTCTTGGTTTGGTTACCTCCCCTTAGCAGTAGTTTTAGAACATTGAAATTACCTTGTGCTAATATAGAGATTTTGCCGACACGTGACGTAACCAATCGTGTCTGCCATTTGCCGATCAAAACATTCGCTAGTCTTAGTCATCATAAATATGTCCGAATGTCACATTTTCGTCACTGATCGTACTAGATATATCACAAAACAAGAATTGCAGAGGTGCAAGCAGAAAGTGACCGTTTTTGGCGCATGTGATCCCTATACATCGCCTGAAGTATTGTTTATATCCCTGAGACAGGCAGAGAAGCTGCCGATATTGGAGTAGAAAACCCATCACCCTACACAGGATACTCCATGAGGGCTTATAAAGGCACGTACAGCTTAAAATATTTTCGAGTTGGCTGGGTGAATAATTCACTATCAGGGTAAGTGACAGTCACTGTCATATTTCAATATGTGAATGTGTGTAGGCCTAGGTATATACTTTTTACTTTCAGGAAAATTACTTAGAAATATATACACTATGCACCGTAAAATATTACATCTTGAAACTTAGACATAACTGGCTACTGCTTTGCTGTTTTAGCTTTCGGTTTTCACGTTTTTCTTTGTTGACAACCTTTGTGCAGTCTATGCACTTCCCCTTTTTTCTGGTTCTTCAGCTTCACTTTCGTGTGTAAAGATCTTGACATTCTTTATCTATCAGTGGTGTGGTCTGGGAGCACCAGGTGGAGCAGTTGTCTTCATTTAGTAGGTGTCTCTTACGCTGATTTTTGGTGAAATTGAATGTAGTACTCTCAACATATCCCACCTTTCTGACAGATCCTAAGCTTGGTTTATTCCATGGTCAAGGCCATTCAGTGCAGGATTTTCCAGTTTTTATTCGCTCCGCAGTGTCAACTGCAAATATTACAGCTTACACATGTGAACATACCTTTCCTAGGCCAGCCACGCATGTGCATTGAGCTACAAGCACGACTCTATCCTCCTGGATCCCTATCCATGGATGCGTTTAAGTTTCATTGAGGTTCAACGAGTAGTTTGCCTGTAATATTTAAAGATGATATGAATGACTGATACACTGATTTGATGTTTTCTATATTGATATTTTATTCATTGTAATTAGATCTGGCTTGCACATAAACTGAAGTCTAATGGTCTTATGTATGCACTTATTTATGGTGTACAATGCATAAATGTGTATGAATATAATTAAATGTTATTAAATTTGAATCTATTATATATATAGACCTATCAAAGTGAAATATGTACTTATTTTATCTTGTTGTTGTTTTTTAATGCTTATAGCATTTATAGTAATATATAAAATAATTATTTAAAATTTGTAAATGTTAGGATGGTAGAACACACGCATTAAGGGAGTTGTGGATTTGTTTGTAGTTAAGCACAAAGCACGGGTATCGAAACCCGATTTCTAGCGTTGTAAGTCCGCAGACATATCGCAACTGAATGATAAACTTTGGTTAAGGCACAACAAACTTAGTTTTATCTAAAGCAGTAGGTTGTCCCTGGATATCTGATTCACAGATATTAATGGGTATAGTACCCTGTGGCATTGTATATGTTTATCTAACAACACCTATCACTCTTTCTACATGTGTTCTTACGATAGCAAGACCTCTGGTGGATTCAATTTCGGCTGGATGATGCTGTTTTTTTGGGTTTTTTTAACTTTCGCAAAGGCAGTAATTTTTAATTCGTCATTGTACTCTCTTACTGAATCACCTACATTAAAACCCATGTCTGTTAAAATAACATCACTTGCAGGCATTTTGTCTTTTAAAAAAACATTATTTTTATTAACATATTTATCACTTGTTCTACCTCCCCACCTTTTCAAAATGAATGATATGACATCTTGGGGAGTTATTCTTACTACATTTTTCGTAATTTTATGGTGTTTATACTGAGAATATTTTTACATCCGAGTTCGTTGATTACTGGTGTTTTTGACAAAAATGTCTAAACAATCAATTATATAAACCCAATTGCTAAAAACTGACCTAAAAGACATAGAAAAACTCATTTTAAACTGTTTTCTGTTTGGCCAAAGCACAAGTTAGCCGCTCACTTACAACATCAATTGTATTATCAAAAAGTTGTGGATATTGATACACCATACATGTAGCCTAAAGGAGACAAGGGTAGGTTCGTCTTAAAGTGTATCAAAGGAAAAATTTGTTTAAATGGCGTCAGGGAAGAGTTAGTCTTGAAAAAATTGGAGAAATGTGCAAAGTAGCCTAAGGGGGACAATGGTAGGTTCGTCTTAAAGTGCATCATAGGTAAAACATATTGTTGAAATGGCGTCAGGGAAGAATTAGTTTTGAAAAAATTGGAGAAATATGCAAATAAAACTCATCATTTTTACGTAGGGCATCTGGTCAGTCAAAGCTTGAACTTTTCATCATTATTTTCAAATGACATTTCATCAAAAGTCACACCTTTAATTTTTTCCCTGATACTCTTCCTTCATTT